CTTAAAAGCCTTTTGGTGAATGTTGATAATCAATACAGAATTGTTTTTCCTCCCTGACATCTCTCTGTCCACCCATCCTTAGCTCCTCAGGGCAGGGTCTGTCCTTCCTTGGCTGTCTGGAAAAATCACATTGTGGGAGTGACTGCAAACAAAGCAGAAAGGGATGCAGTCTTATGCTTACTTACCCGGAAGACCATGATCTCTTCCACGTTGCAGGTTTAAGGCTGGTAGATCCAGTCCAATTACTTGTAGCTGTTCAAAAAGCCGCTCTTGGAGCTCCTCAACCACCATTTGATCCTGTTTCATTAGTTTTGCACGGACAACCAGCATACCACGGAGAAGCGGGTCAATGCCACCTGCAATGAAGGTCAAGTCCAGAAAGAAACAGAACAGTCTGTAATAGATTCTACCTAGTAGGCTACATTTTGTGCAACAGAAGGTTAGCCTCAATGCTCCCTTTGCTCCTCAGGGGTCACCTGAGATCCTTCCCGCTCTGATGGTTGGGGAGGTCATTCCTAGCTAACAGTATGCGCCATGTTCCCCCCCAAGGAACCAGAGTAGTTTATAAGAATGTCTGCAGATACAGTGGCCTGTTGTCCCATAACAACATGAGCTGCTCAAAGGAAGCCAAGCAGTTTTAGTAAACAAACTGCATAGGAAGAACTGGAAAGGCTTCTCCTTCAGGAAAAATGGAGCTTTGTGTTTTTACCTCACAGCAACACAACAGGAGCTGGGAAAGGCCTCACAGGTAGAGCTGGCTGGGCAATGTGTGTTTTGTTCCTGGGAAAAATTTCATTGAAATTTGTCTTCAAAAGTATAACAGAGGCTTGGGCAGCTGGGCGGCCTAGTGGTTAGATCTCCTGACTCTCGGCCCCCTGCTGAGCTCCTCCTTTAAGTCTGGGGGTGGGTAGGAGGACCTCCCTCTCCACCACGTCCCAGCCCAGGGTCCTGTGCATGTCAACCCCCAAACAGGGGGGTTGGTGTCCCTCCCAGCAGGGAGTCAGAATCCACTGCCCTGGGCTACTTCCTACCAGTAGGTTCAGTTTGGGGCATGGCCCCTCTAGTCCAATCTTCCAGGCAGCATGCTTCCTGTAGGGTTCCCTCTTGGGTCTGGGGCAGCACCTCGCTGCAATCCCAGGCTCCTTCAGGCAGGGCAGCCACGAACTAGTGAGGGCAAGCCCCACCGTATCTCGGGGATCCACTCAGTCAGTTCTCTCTGATTCTGGGGGTTCCTTTGCAGTCTCCCCTTGGCTGGGGAGCCAGGGCTTGCTTTCTGTCCCTTCAGGTAGTTCCTGCCTCTACACCAGTCAGCCCTGAACTGAGCCAGGCTCCCTCCTTGTCTCTCCCCTATAGGCCTGGCATTGGCTGCAGGCATAATGGGCAGAGGTTAGTTGGGCCCAAAGGCTTCTTCAACCCCTTCCGTGTTGGTGGGTGGTTCCCCTTCTTCACCACAAAAGGTTTTCAGGTTTTCATCAAAAACTTGAAAATCAAAATTTTGGGACCAACAGTGGCAAAAAAGTGAAAAATACCTGATTTTTCAACTGAAATGTTTTGGTTTTCAGGTTTTCAACAACAACAATTCAAAAATGTTGTTATAAGTGGGTATTTTCTGTGGAAATTTTTATTTTGACAAAAAAGCCCCCATTGATTGAAAAAAACACCTTTCAAATGAAAACTTTCACCAAGCTCTACATGTAGGCGATACATGCCAGGCCCTCCTCATCGAGAAGGGCTTTGTTTTACAGTTCCTTTTGTTCTGTCTAGTTTTAAAATGTCCTCCCCAGTGGTTTTGTAATCCCCTGGCTTCCCTCAGAAGAGTTGGCCAGCGTTGAATTCCATACTCTCAAGAACGTTTTCCTGGTAATCAGCTTAGATTTTCCTTTTCTTAGTTTTATGCTATTACTCTTAATAACAGCTCCTGAAACACACTGAACAATCCATCTCTTGGTGATGTCATGCCATGCTAAACTGTATTATACTGTTCCCAATTTGATATGAACATGGTCCTCAGGTTCTAGACCTGGCAGCTATCTATCCTAAAAGTGTTCATAAGCTCTTTTAGCCTTTGTATCTGATCTGTCTATTCTCTTCATATCTGGCCACTTTGGAAATAGGTTCTTTTCCAAAGCTGGAGCAGTAGTTCTGAGTTGTCTTCCCATCAGGATTTGGGCTGGACTATATCCAGCAGCCGTGACTGGTGTTGATCTGTAACTCGGAAGGGCAAGGAATGGATTTTCTTGGTTGTCTGCCTAGAGCTCTCTCAGCCTCTCCATTTGCTTGTGGGTGATGTGGGCTGCCAGTAATGCGATTTTGATATTCAGGATATTTTGAGTTCAGGGCTGTTGGTCATAAGCTGTTGTTTAATTTCTAAAAAGCTACACAGTTCTTATAATGCTGAGTCTATAGCGGTGACTCAGGCTAGACCCACTAAGGGACTTAGGCCCCTAATTTCCACGCCATAAGCATGAATCCAACATTTAGGCAGCACTGAGATCCTTAAACCCCCTGCTCCACTGCTGCCTAACTCTGTAGACACCTCAATTCCATAGCTGCCGACATTTCCACCACTGGGCATGCACAGAGCCTCCGAAATCCTGATGCCACCGAGCCGCTCAGCACCCTAGCGCACACCTAAGTCCCAGCAGGATTTATCAGCTAGGTGTTCCCCTACCAGGCTTGGTCCCATTTGGGTCCTGTGCAGAAGACAGTCAGCAATAAGGAGAGTGGGGACTAGACTGGCTGAAGTGCATGCTCCCCAGTAGGCAGGCGAGGCAGCTGGAGTGGGGAAGAGCTGTTTCCAAATCCCCCCTCGGCTTGATTTGGCACCAGGACTTGAACTCAGCTCTCCTACATCCCCGGTAAGAGCCCTAGCTGCCCGGCTATGGGTTAATCTGAGGGTGGGGGTGTCCCAGTCACTCCTGTCGAAGCTGTTCCGTTTGGTATTAAACAATTCATTGGGACAGACAGAGCTAGAGATGTTGGCTCTATGGCCTGGTGGCTAGGACCTGTATCTATCACGTGAAAGAGCCATGTTCAAGCCCTTGCTCCAATGACTGTTTACTTCTTCACAAGTGGTGAGTTCACCCATGTCATACCTTGGCTAATTTGGTTTAAGATTCAGTTCACAGTAAGTTGAGAGGTAGGGCAGTCAGTTCTAAAGTGGCTGCACTCTGTCCCATTGTATATATATCCAATTAGCATGAAAGACATATAAAATGAAAGTGTCACCACTAAACGTGAGTGAAAGGAGCTATAGAATTGTGTAGTTTTAAAATATAGCAGAATGCTAAAATCTTGGGGGGGGGGGGGAAACTGTTTGATATATTTGTTCATAATCTAGATAAGGCACTTTATTTTCAGTTTCTTCTGATTTTTATTAAAAAATTCCTGGCTTTTTCAAAAGCTCTTATTTGGTTTTTACTGATTGTCACACCTCATGGACCTGAAAACTCTGATTATGTTAAGAAAATCCAATACATTACATTAGGTACATATGTCTATGTTAGTAAATCAGTCTCAGTGTAAATGCAGGGCTGTCTGTTAAAGTAACACAATGTAGTGGAAGATACACATAGGCAAGTGCATATGTTAATGTACAGTTCATGAAATAACTTTTAAATTGCTTTTACTTGCAATACTCTTACTTTTCTCTGTTTGTTGCTTTTTTTTTTCTGTTCTCTCGTCCAACATTAACCCTGGTATTTACCCAGAAAACTGGGAAATTCATTTTTTGCACTGATTTTCACCTCTATTTTAGTTTTTGTAATAAACATTGATAAATCCCTAGATAATTTTAAACAAAATAAAAACTGAAAACTACCATAGAGTAGTCAGAGCACAGTCCCAGCCAGGTGTTAATCCTGACTGCTACATCCTTTACTAGGGGCCAGATTCCTACAGGTAGCTAGGTGCCATCTAGAGACACAGATAGAAGGTCAGTGAGATTTTCTCAATAGGCATGTAGGTGCTCTGGGAAATTCCACTAGCTGCTATCTGCATCTTTAGATACCTAAAGACCTTTGAAAATCTGGCCCTAGGCCTTTGCATCTCAGTCTCTGGAGCTGTAAAATGGAGATAACTCCCACCTCTGGAGGTCATGAGACTTACTTCATGTTTGGAAAGTGCCTGATTAAAGGCATATTTAATATGAAAACAGTACATTGAATACGTTTTATAAAGGGCTATCACCAAAAGCATCATTTAAAAACGGTGGCTTATTAGAATTAATAGAACAGTTATTAAAAGTTATATTGAATTGTAACAGGGAATTATAGCTACACTGATGAGAGGCAGAACATTCAAAGTAGAAGATTAAACTAGCCCTGCAGCAGGAGTGAGACACAATTCAGCCTCAACTCAGGTTCCAGGTCTTTAAAGATACAATTATCAGCAAAGTTCGTTGCTGATGCCCACTGCTAGTTTTTGCAAATAATTTCATAGTTTAAGTGGCATTGCAAGGTTTCATTTATTCAATATAATGAAAGTTACTGGCAGCTTTTAAAATCTTTCCTAGAGTCCTAGAGAGACAAGCTGGGTGATGTAATATTTTTTATTGGACAAACTTCTGTTGGTGAGAGAGACAAGCTTTCGAGCTGCACAGAGCTCTTCTTCGGGTAGTGTACTCAAAACCTTGTCTCTCTCACCAACAGAAGT